TGTGGGATAAACATATTGCACATGTTTTTTTTTTTTTTTTTTGACGGAACGATTCACAGATAAAACTTATCATAAAAGGGAGGGGGGGGAGGAATACAAAAAAAAAGTAAAAAAGGCTAGGCTGTTTTTCTGGGCGCCCGGGCAACCAACCTATGCCCAGGTACACACCCAGGTGTCCGGCTGGGCATGACCCCCGGCAGGGTTCCAATCAGCCCCAGCGCCAAAAAAAAAAAAATCAATAAATTTAAAAAAATTCTGGGAAAAGTTCCCGGAAAACAATTTTTTTTGGCGCTGCATTATTGTTTTCCCGTAATTTTTTTTGCGAGTTGGCAGTCCAGGCACCCCCCTTCAAACCCCTTTATCCCCTTCAAAACCAATTTATAACCCCCCCCCCCCCCCTTCCCCTTGACAGCCAACTCGCAAAAAAAGAAATGAGCCTGGATTTGGGGTCTTCTGGGAGAGCGCAGAAAACCCAGAAATAAAGGGGAAAAAAGCACTTTTTTTTTCCATGGTAACCGACGGGACGTCCGCACCGTGTTCCAGACAGTCCGGAACAACATGTCCGGTGTCCGGTGTCCGGTCCTTGTGTCCGGATGGAGGCCCCCAGGGCAAAATAGAAAAAAGTAAAGGGGCAGGCCACAACGTTTTTTGGGTCCTGGCTGCCCTTGAAAAATAATGGGGTGATTTTTCAGTGTCGTTTAACTCCACCGGACAGGGTCTAGAGGTCCGGACACAAGACACTGCAGGTTTTCGGGGTGGTGGGTTTCACACAGGCCCGAGCAATTTCAAAGCGCCCGTTTCGACGTGCCACCCGCTGCTGCTGCCCGTTGGGGAGAGAGAGAGAGAGAGAGAGAGAGAGAGAGAGAGAGCACTGACAGTGTTGCCAGTCTGAACACTCTGACGTTCTGAATTGAACTGCAAACTTCGAACTTTTAAGTTATATATGAAGTTACGAAATTAAAGAACTTAATTCAAACTTCAAACTTCAAACTTCAAACTTCAAAGTTAATCATACTTAAAAAAAAAAAAAAGGAGGGAAGTACGTTTATGTCACATTGGAGTTCGTAATGGGCAGAAAAAACAGGCATCGTCGTCTGTGTCAGGGATTTTGACAAAGTCACCCGACATGCAAATGATAAGAGCAGTAAACACTCATTGCATCAAACGAGAGGGAGAAGAGGAAGACGAGGAAAAGAAGGAGAGTAGTACACCATGTTCCCGAATGCGACCAAAATGGCCGAAAGATAATCATTAACCTCGCCGTACATCAGTCAGTCCAAAAAAATAATAGTTGAAGCGCTGGACCGACATGGCGCAGCGACCCTACGCCGCGTTTCATCCGGCCGCCTGTACCGGAATCATCAGGGGTCTTTGAGTGTCGAGGGAAGAGGGACCGATGGTATAGGGGGAAAGGTATAAGTAGTCTAGTTTCCCTAAAAATCCTTGCAGTAATCGAGTCAGCAAAGAATAGAAACCCAAAGGTGACCCGGAAATAGCCTATGGAGCATTGGACACTGAAGTCGGCAGAATCAAGGCAGGACCAGGCCAGAATAGCCGCCAGGTACCCCCAGAAGGAAATAGAAAAAGAAGTAGGCCAAGAAATAGGACCAGAGACATCAGACCAGAAAAGGACAGAGATGGAACCGCCAAAACCACGGCCTCGGCCAAAAAAGGACTCCAGGAGATCGGCCCTCCTACAAAACGTTTGGTAATGTATAGTTCAGACCCCGCCACGCGTCATTCGGGAAAAGAAAAGAAAAGAAAAGAAAAGAAAAAAAGAAAAAGAAAAAGAAAAGAAAAGAAAAGAAAAGAAAAGACAAAAAACTAAGCCTAAAAATAAAGAACCTAAAAACTAAAATATTTGAAAACCTCCTATTACGGACTCGTCACCGCAGGTTACCCCCTTATTACGAAGGCATCCCACGGTAGAATCTTTGAAGGGCCTCTCCTTCCCACAGGTTGCCCCTTAATCTTACAGCCCGAAAACATCCCTCCTTCCACGACAATTGTTTACCTCCTTCTACAGCAACCATTCCCCTTCTTCGATTGTTCCCCTTTGAGCAACTTATCCCACCCCGTCAGAATCTCAACCCAATTGTCCCAAATACCGCAGAATTTGCACGAGAAACTTATCAACGCGGTGTCGAAATAAACATCTGGAAAACCTCTTTTTCGCAGCTCTATCTTCAGAGTGAAAAGAAAAGCAAGTTCCGCTCCAGGAATACTTGTGTACGTTCTTGCCCTATGCAGACAGGCCCCAATGACGGCCATCTTTTGCTGTTTGTCACAATAGGAGTCAAAATCCTGCAGGTTCTGAAACCTGTGCCCTGCCTCCCGTACATATCTCTGGTTCTTATGCAGGGCCGCACAACAGACCCCCCAAGGCCAGTTAAGCACCTTTACAACACACCCAACAAAATCCCAACAATCAGTCTCGTTCGTCTGTTCTAGAGTGAGATTGTCGTCATAACAGTTTTTGAAACGCTGCAAGATCTCTCCTGCCCTTCGTTTTGACTCGCGGTCGCCTGCTTTGTACCAAATTAGGATGGACACGTCATCAACAACCCTCAGACCATTAACTAACAGCCTCTCACTACCTAGGGATGTCAAGAACATGAACTCATTGTATGTACACAGTAGGCATGCAAGTGCTGGACTGGAGGCTTTCCCCATGGGGATGCCTACAGTTTGTCTCAAAACCCTTCCACATGCCTTCACGAAGGTATTTTCCAAATCAGAGCGAACGAAATCAATAACGAGTTCAAAGGAAATCGTTTTCCAACCCTCCTCTTTGCTGCCAAAACAGATCCTTGCCCCCTTACCCCTTGTTTTGACCAGCAGCCCTTGCCCACCCTTCACTTTCCAAAAGTCAATGCGGTAAGTTACAGAACATTTCTTTAATATCAAACGCAGCGGTCAGGAGGCGATCGTCTTTTCCCAAATTCTTGCTACAGCTAGCCAAAGTCTTAACAAGCAGGTTAACGCTCCTGAGGTTAAAGTTGGAAGCCTCCGGAAGTGCCCATAGTAATTGATTCAGAGCTTGAGCCACTACCTTCGTTGCCCGAACTCCGCATTCCGAAAAGGTGGGACAAATGGGTCGCCACTTTTTCATATCCTTGTGTTTCGGAATAGCATACGCGCATCCCAAACTGCCTTCATTCTGCCAACGTCCCAGCTGGCAAAACCCCTTTTCGACATACTTCTTCTTCGCATCCCCAATGACTTTCTGCTCAGTCAGTTCACACTTTTGCAAACCCGGGTTCGCTAAAAAGAGTTTATTCATACCCTCCCGATACACCACTGGACAACAAACCATCGAATCCCCTGGATTGTGATCTATGGGGCAAATGACCAGATCACCAAACCTTTCACTGTGGCGACGTCACAGCCCGACTTCCTGACAACCCGCCGTGTATTGTTGAAACATTGTCCAATTAGCTCCCGGTTGAAAGCATCAGATTCCAAAGCAGGCAAGGATGGGGTATTTTTGAAAGAGGCACAAATCATTCGAAGCAGATCATCCACAGAAGTGTTATCCAATGGGGACGGGATATTACGAGCATTTTGAAGAAAAACAGGAAGAAGAGTACACTCAGAAGTTCTAAAACAGACATGTGAGTCGACCCTGGCAAGATTTGTATCCATGCCCTGACAGCAGCAAATGGATTCCGACCGCTTAGCTTCACATCTAAAATTGTACCACAGGCCCCCTACATTCTTGTTTTTCAACCATACCACTCGCATGCGCCGAATCAGCAAACTTTTCCAACCAGCTGTCAAATCCATTTTCTCGACTACGCTTGCACACAGTTTTCTCACGCCCAACTTAGAGAGCCGCTCATCGTACGTAACCCTGACCACCACTCTTTCCCTAACATTAACAGAGAATCTCCTTCGAATAGTTCCTGACACTAAGCATCTTAGTCTGTATCTTGTCCTTTTTTCAGAGAAACTCCTCACTGCCGCGTACAGCCGAATCATAGCCTCCAAATCCCAACCATACAGCTCACGACGCGAGGCAGGATTGCTAAGAAACTCGGCAAGTTTTGGCTTCAGACAGACCAACTTCGAACAGAAGTAAACAACAGATTTAAAGACAACAGTCACGCCTCCTTCCAGCCATCCCCTATTCTTCTTCAAGAGCCCACAGCCAAAACGAGTTTCAATTGTCGATGCACCGAAGCATCGTTTCAGAATCCTCCATTTATCCAGCAATTCCCCACCGCCACTACACTGCACTCTCAACTCCTTCGTTCCATGCTGCTGCCAATCTTTTAGCAGGTTTAGCAGGCTCGCCGAACTCCTACCTTCGGAAGTCTCAAAAAACATATACGTGCCTTTTCCAGGCGCAACTTCTATCCTCTTCCGTTCGCCGTTAGATCTACCTATTAGTTTCGCCTTGTGTCGTTTCCTTTCCCGCTTCCCCACCCTGCACTTCCTATTTTTCCTTGGTCTATCCCTGCAGTTAAGGTGAGGGTTGGTTCGATGTATCACTGATCTCTCCAACGCCACCAGATCATCCTTCCCACATTTCAGCAGTGGCAGAGCAACGTACTGCCCGGCTCCGCACCTTCTTAACCAATTATACAGCCTATGATTACGTCTTCCCTGTTCAATAACCCCCTCATCACAAGCCCTATAGGCATGCTCACTCCACCTCACATCGAGCGACCTACCAGTCGAGCCAACATAGACGTGCTTACTCCAGGGGGAGATCAAGACATAGACCAAGGGCCCATCACAACAGAATAGATCATCGTCATCCCGTACCAAAGACAACAGATTATCCTTGTACTTAACAGCCCAAGGAATTTGGCCCCGAAGAATTAGTAGAAGGACGACAATTTGAAAGAAGAGGTTTAGCTTGATATCACGAAGAGAGGAGATCGTTTGAGAACGCCTATTCCGACACCATTTCGCAAGTCCCCATAGCTTTGCCACGTCCGGGAAGTCCCATCAAGCAGAATCCGACGGAACTTCCTGGACATCAGCAGACTTACCATCATTGGAGGCCGCACCATCACCGGACCTGTCCCCCTCTGCCGAGTTCAGATCAGGATCCTCCTTATCACCAAACACTTGATCAGCGTTATACTGCGCCAAATCTTCAGCCGTTATATCTATGGTCTTGTATTTGATTCCAGCGGCTTGGCACAATGGCTCGAGCCCCGATTTCTTCAGGGCCTTCAGCCGTTTCTTCTCGTCTTGAACAAAAACGAAACGGTCATTCGCCTTCTTTGCACTTTCTTCAGCTCTTGGTAGGCGCCCCAGAGTAGCCTTCATCTTTTGCCGCCTTGACTTCCGCACATCAGTAGCAGCCTCATCAAGCTGCTTCTTCAAATTCGTCCCCTTCTCCCTTGGTGTCTCCGCCATCGTCTGCTTGGTAGACAGCCTGCTCATCTCCTCTCGTAGTTTCAGCACTTCCCCCTCCGCCTGCATGCGCCTCATTTCCGCCTCCGCACGTCTTTCCTTCAGTAGGCTGACCTCAGCCTGATCACAGCGCTTCAGGTCGATCTTCGCTTGGAGCTCCTTCAGCTCGTCCCGTATCGCCCTCGTCTCATGTGGGGTCTGTCCCAACCTCAGTCTTGCTCGTCCTCGGCAACTAGGCTCCAGAGTAGTCATTCCAATAGTGCCGCGTTTATTGCCCGGACGGAGGGCCTCATTTTGCCACTGCCTGGTTTCTTCTTGAGACTCCTCTTTCTCCTTCCGTAGTAGTTCCATCTCATCATGCAGCCGCTCGATTTCCCTCATGAATTCTTCCTTGCCAACACTTTCACGATTCTCCTTTATCTCCCGCAATTCCCTTCTCAAAATAGCTACCTCCCTCTCCATGCTTCTATCCTCAGCCCGACTCTTTCTTAGGGCCTCATTCTCTTCCCTCAGCTTCTCAATCTCACTATTCTTCCCTTTCCGGAAAATTTTCTCACGCAGATCCTCGTTTTCCTTCTTCAGCTGACTTACTACATCTGGTTCCCCACTAGTGCTTGCCTTGTTGTTGCTCTTTCCTTACAAGGCCTCCTGCATTGCTGAGAATCTCGTATCTAAACGCTCGGCCATCTTCGCTTCAAACTCTTCCCTATCCTTTTTTATCTTGTTTTGTTTTTTGCCGCCTCTTCCTCATCTTTGAGTTTCTTGTCTCCCTGTGCCACCTCCTCCTGTTCACGCTCCTTCTGTTCCGCACGGCTAATGAACGCACTGCACCTGTCCAAAATCTCCTGATTGGATCGCCAGAAATAGTTTCTGGGCTGCGCCACGTAAGCAGTGGAGGCAATAGGTGCAACCGCAGGAGCCACTGCAGGAGCAGGTGCCGGTAAGGTAAGAAGAGGCTGTGCATTCGCACCTGTTGCAGCAGAAGCTTGTCCATAGTAATTCGGACGCTGACCACACTCTCTCGACCAATGCCCAGGCAGACCAGAATTGAAGCAATTGCCTCGGCCTGCCATTTTCAGGATCGGAAAGGAGAAAGAAAAGAAAAAGAAAAGAGTAGATGGAGGAAAGAGTAGATGACTGGTTCGTCTAATCCAGAGTGAGAAAAGCTCTTTACGATAATCAGTAACAGCGAAGCCACTCTACCGTAATACAACCTTCACGGCGGTTACTACGTGTAATGCGGGATTTTGACAAAGTCACCCGACATGCAAATGATAAGAGCAGTAAACACTCATTGCATCAAACGAGAGGGAGAAGAGGAAGACGAGGAAAAGAA